CTGTATAAACAGTACAGAAAAAAAAAAAAGGGGGCAATTGAATATTTGCACACCACAGGTACAGTAAACAAAGTCAGCAAAGTTGGGAAGAACGTTAGAGACAACCACATTTCTTGCATGACGAGACCTCTGCAATTCAGGAGCTGCAGGTCCTTAGAGTTATGACAATTAGGCAGGCTCATCCCCTAGGTCCTTTTGAACCCGGCTATGCACAGCCTGTGCCGGCCTTGCCAGCAGGGATCAAGGCTGCCTTCAAGCATAGTAAAGCTCGATTTCTGTCCATCCCTTTCATGAAGCTGAGTTGGTAAGAAACAAATCAAGCCCAAAGCGGACATAGAGAGTGTGTCTGTCGGTACAATGGAGTATTCTAAAGCAAAATAAACTTTTTAAAGAGCTGCGCTGTAGTAAAATAGAACCCGTATAGACAATGCAAAGCCCCCCTCTATGCGATAGTTTCTGAACACAAGGCAGTTTTAAAGATTTCCCTAGGGTGTCATAGCAAAAGCCCCGAGCTTTGGCACAGCATGCCAAGACTCTTCGGCAACCATTGGTAGATATTTTTTTATATACTACGGGCTACTGTAAAAGGGTAGCATGATCACAAGCTAAAAGTGAGACATAAGCCACTGCTTCATCAAAAGCATTCAAAAACAAGACTTTTTGAGATTTTGGACACACTGCATATAAAATGTCCAAGTACATGCGTGCTCTCGTGAAACTTTCTGCAGCTGGCAAAAAGTGTAAAAGCTTTCATAATTGGGAACGGCGTCACTAAAATGCTCGTGGTTCCAAAAGTACCAACAACTGCCCGAAATGTTCTGTTTCACACACCTAAGCACAAAGAAGGTTTCACAAGACTCCAAAAGCATCCCCAATAAATCTTGGTTAACATGTTGCATACATTCCATATAAAACAAAATAAATAAATAAATAAAGGAGTAACAACTACGCCGGCATTCTTGCACAGATGAAAAAAATAAACAATTCTAAACTTCACTTCTACAAAAAAAAAAAAAAAAAAAAAAAAAGCTTTTTTGAGATTAAGTTAAGAAACAGCAGACCAGGGATTCTAGAAGCCAGAGCCCGCTAAAACCACTTCTGCCAAAGTGCAACTGCAAGGTGTAAGCTTTTTCTATGCGACTTGTGTGCACCGAGAGACCGGTCTCTCAGACAAGCGATGAAACCGGGTGGAACGTCCTTCGAAGGGCCAATCAGATTGTCCCAGTCCTCACTGAAAATATCCACTCCAACCCCCCAGGGTACATGGTTTTAAAACGAAACTAGCAGCCCCTTCATTGCCTTTTAATAAAGTGTATACTTTCAAGGAAATGAACTAAGCTTCGGAACAGGGATGCCAGAACAAAGAGAACTCATTTCAAGTCAAATACTGATGAAACAGCTTCAGCACTGGACGGAGAGGAACTCGTGATTTAATACCCAAAAGCAAACCGCCACCTAAACAGAGGTTAGGACATAACCTTTTATGACCAATGACTGGCATGGCATGCACCTTGTTTTGTACGCTCAACTCGAGGTAGTATTGAGAGCACCCTGCGCGAGTAAAAAGATTAATTAAGAGGCACGAATAAACGGTGGTTCAACATATCGAGAAAGGTAAAGAGAACTGGCCATACAATCAATTCCAATGCGGACTGCCGCAAAGGTGTACAACTGAAGACAATGTTCCATATTTTGCGGTAGATTCTCTCAATTATAATGCTAATTTAGAATATTTTGGCACCGATAGAAACAAAAATTTCGAAGGAAGAGCCATCTCAAGTAATGCATTGAGCGAGCCTTCCCCGACTTTCGCGGAATGACTGTTTTCGAGTCCCAAGTACCCCGATATTCTGAATAAATATTATTGGCTCATTACTTCGCGACAGTCTGAAAGCAGCAACACAGTTGAGCTTTGTGGATTCTGAAGACGATTCTTGTCACTCGTCTTGGAAGCGCGCTTCCTCGCTCGACGAGGTTTTTTTAATTTGAATGACAATGATTTTGTGCGAGACAATGGCAACGGGAATGATGACTATAAAGAAGAATATGAAGAGGATTCAAATGTCGGCGACCACGAGGTGGACGCGACAAATCCTCCACAGACACTTCATCATTTTCCCTTAAAGGGGCCCTGCAACCATATTTAAGTGTCTACCTTTTAGCTGTTTCCACATTTCCTGTGGCTCGGCCAACCAAGAGGGCACAGAGAGAGTCACTAAATATCGGCGCGTCATATTTTAACCAGATGACGCGGAAACCTCCTCTTCCTCCAACGGGGATGCCCCGCTGTTAAATTAAATATAAGGAAGTAGTTTTTGTTCAGTATTTTACATGAGAGAAGAAACCAATACAGTTTACTAAGTATGGAAACAAACAAATGACCGCATCTCTACGTGGTGAATGATGTTGAATGGGGCGAAGCTCCGGTGGTGCTGATGATACTGATTTTGTTCATAGGTAGTGCTGATGGTGCTGACTTTTTTTTTATCCTCTCCGGAACAGCTGGCTGTCTGCGTAGACGCTGAGCCGCAGCATGCCAAGCTTTTTGTTCGTTTTCATCCATGTCAGAAAGAGAATGTGTGGTGTGGAACGTGGTTATATACGCATTTGAGCATTTGACCGCAGCGCCCTCTTGTCTATAAACGTTGAGCCAATGCATGCAAAGTTTAACGTGATTATATACGCATTTGACTGCAGCGCCCTCTCCTGTATAGATGTTGAGCGGCTACATGCAACGTTTCATCCCCGACATCCCCAGCTCTTGAGTTACTATTACATCTCAGAGCCCCCTACTCGTTCCGCAGTCGTGGCCGAGTGGTTAAGGCGATGGACTAGAAATCCATTGTGGTCTCCCCGCACAGGTTCGAATCCTGTCGACCGCGCAAACATTTTTTCTTTTTAGATCGCAGCTCTTAGGAACCCGTTCCCGGCTTGAGCGGCGTCGCTGTAACCAAGGTCATCCCAAGGTCACTTGACCCCCAAGGTCATCCCAAGGTCACGTGACACGCAAGGTCACGTGACCCCCAAGGTCACGTGACACCCAAAGTCACGTGGCTCCCGATGACGTCATCAGTGACGTCACTGGCATCCGCATCGTCATCATCACTGATGACGTCACCGGCATCCGCATCGTCATCATCACTGATGACGTCATCAGTGGCGTCACTGATGACGTCACCGGCATCCACATCGTCATCATCGCTGATGACGTCATCAGTGACATCACTGATGACGTCACCGGCATCCGCATCGTCATCATCGCTGATGACGTCATCAGTGACATCACTGATGACGTCATCGGTATCCGCATCGTCATTGTTACTGATGACGTCATCGTCACGTGACCCCCCTAGGTCACGTGACCCCTACCCAAGGCCACTTGACCCCCCCAGTACCCTTCCCTCCTCCTCCTCAAGAACTGCGCTCTAATTCGGCGTTACAGGGAGTTGTAAACGGCTTTCACTTTTTTTTTTTAAGAAGACAGATGGGATGGCAATCGATGTGAGCACGGACATCGGACAAGGCTAGACCCTAAGGAGCTTCGCCCCTAAAACAACACGCAATGACCCGTCGACATACCCGCCACCAAGTGGTGGAAGAGGTGGCGCAGGCGCCTTCGCGGAACCTAGCAGACGACGCACGACGCCAGCGGCACATTTTGCAAGAAGCGAAAGTATGAATTTGTTTCTTGTGGTCTCGCGCCACAGGAGATCCACCCGGAACTTGAACATCATCAAGTTGGGGCCGAGAGGTTTCATGTATCGCACTCCGGACGCTTACGAAGAACGTCCTCATACCATATTACTCCCAGCTCCGCACTTCTATCAAGGATTCGAAGCTCAACCCCGACAAACCCGGTAAATTCATGCCGGTAAGCACAGTAAAGGGCTGAAGCAAACAACGAGCCGTTGTCGCGCAGGCAGCCGCAGGGAAGCAACCACCAATGTAAACCGCAGCCGATTGGCCAGTCGCTTCGCTTCTACCATTGGCCACACAAGCCAGGACCAGGGACGTCATGAAACAGGTTATTTTTTGCTCGTTTTTATCATTTTAATTTGCCTATACCTTTTAAAATAAAGCGAATTTCGAGAAAAGAAAATCTCACTTAACGACTCTGTTCAGTGCGCTCAGGTTCGGTGCATACTAAAACCAGTCAAAAAGTTGTTGCAGAACCCCTTTAACTGCCACGCCCAGTGTCAATGTCGACCTCGATGACGACGACCCTCTAGATAGGGTCGGGTACTGGGAACTTCTTTTGAGTGCTTGATGCTATAAATCAGATAGTCACGCATTTCATCATGTTATGATGGAAATTCTGATCAATTTTGATCTAACTTGTAAATACTGTACCCCCGTGCCATCTTTGTTTAAAATGAAAAAACCTACCTAATCCGCTGAACCTACCTAATCCGCTGCATCTCAAGAGGGGGATGCAGACGGTATGCTGAAAGAGAAGCAGGTATCCCCCTCTCTTCTCCAGCGTTTTGTCTGCTTCCTCCTCCCCGGCCCGGCTTACCCTTGCCCTACCTTCTTAAGTTGCAACGGACTATATTATAAGTACAGGGTGTCACAAAAAAAAAACATACAGGGTTTTTTTTTATCGCAAAAATAAACTAGGCATCGCCAAACGCTCATTCTTCGCCCAAAGGTAGCGCTAGAAGTAACAACCAGATGCCAAGGTTTCAGCCTGATCCGATACCTTGATCAAAACTTATAAGTGATTTTCTCAAAATTTCAATGGGAGAATGGAGCCCATTTTTGCCCATTGTCCGTTTCTGGTGCCATAGAGCCCCATGTGTTTAAAAACTCCGTCGGCCGCCATTTTCCCATTGAAATTTTCAGAAAATCAATTATAACTTTTGAATAAGGTATCGGATCGGGCTGAAACTTCAGCATCTGGCTGTGACCTCCAGCGCTACCTCTGGGTGGAGAATGAGCGTTCGGCGATGCCTAGTTTTTTTGTTTTTTTTTTTGCAATAAAAAAGAATGCATAATTTTTTTTTTTTTTGTGACACCCTGTACACATTAGAAACTAGAAGTGCCAGCTCCTAACTTTAAAATGTGCCAGAGGCATGGTTAAAGTGCCTGTGAGTGAGTGCACCTGACAAACCCTAGCACTCTCCGCTTGTGGCTTTTGCTACACACTCCCACTAAAGCAAAACAATGTGTAGTGAAGGGTACGAAGCAATGTAAATAAAACAATGACCACATGACGGCATAAGTGGGCAAAGTAAATCTGGAAAGTTTACGTGCCAAACCAACACAGGGATTCTTTAGCGTGCCCTAGCAAAAGAGCAAGCGCTAAGGCACCATTCACACACTTGCAACTGAGTAGGACCAAGAGAAGAACCGGTTTTTAAGCCTCCTGGGACGGCAGAGGACTGGACGCACCGCTGCGAAGCAGGTCCTACACTGTCACAAGCAAGAGGCTTAAAAACCCGTCTTGTCCCTCTCGGTCGTATCCGATTGCGAGTGTGTGAACGGCGCTTTAGACTAGCCGGGAATCTTTCGACACGCAACCGTAATTTAAGTTACACGGTGCCTTCTATACAACGAGCTTGTCAGATTATATGCCAACAGAAGCCAGATGACAGAGAATACGGACTACATTACTGAAGTCTTATGTGGACGGAAATTAGAGACTCCGCATAAAAAGAAAATGAAAACAGCCAAAGCTTTCCCAAGAGCCGACAAAGCCCGTAGCCACGGGCCACATTTACTCGAGTAATTTTCACGTTTCTGAGCCAAGCTTGCGTGTTCACTTTTCCACGAAGCGTGCGGTTGTCGGCCGTAAATTTTAGGTTCCGTCTTTTCGAGCTGCAGTTACCAAGCCCGGTGCATTCTCGTAGACAGCCCTTCGGGTCATCTTTCTCGTGCCTCCCTGACCCATCTAGTTTGGCATCAATTTAAAAGTTGTGCCGCATCATTTCAGACCAAACCACTCGACTATGCTTCCTCGCAGCCATCTCTAACAGACTGAGAAGTACAGACTACGAGCATGGGCCCTCAGCTTTAGGATCAGCGTACGTTGCGCAAGTTCTCATCCACTGGGGGGTTGCTTTCGCTGGTAGGTTTTATCCCTCACTCTGAACTCTTGTAAATGTAAACAAAGCATATTGAGGCCTTATCTCTCGCTCTCAACTATCGCAAAGTTGAACGATGCACACAGAGGCCTCATCCCTCGCTTTCAATTTTCGTGAATGCAAGCAAAGCGCACAAGTCGTTCTGACTACACCTTGCAGTTGCGCTAGTTGCGACTCGAGTTGAAACGGAAGCTTAGGAAGAAGTGACCTCCTGCTTCTGCTAGGGAGGAGAAGCTGAGGAGAGAGGGGGGCTGGGGTAATGGGGAGGAGGAGGCTCCTCTGAAGAGCGAGTCTCAGCTGGCAACGTCTCCACATCGATATGTGGTCACTAATTTGTGTGTGCACCCCTGCCAATCGATGGCCGCCGCCGACCGATTTGAGCAGTCCCGAGCCCGAAGTGCGACGTGAACAACGAGAGAAGACAAGTCGGCAAATGAGCAACCGAAACAGCTACAAACGACCTACCGTAGTAAAAGAAATTTGGTCCATTGAAGCACGCTTCGACTAGAATTATAATTTAAGTAGTTCAGCTATATGATAAAGCAAAGTAAAACAACTAAGACAGACTTGCCCAGGAAAAGTGTTGACGTGCGGCAATTTGTCGCGGAATTTTGATGGGAAATCGCTTTGAGGTAGTCCGAACACTGGCATATGCAGGACCTTCAGACCTGTGAAGTTGAAGGACAACTGTTCAATGATCCTCAATGACTAGTTGGAAAGGTACAACTATCAAACGGAGACAGATACCACCCAAAAAAAAGCTGGGAGGATCGAACTGACGTGAAATGGCTGCTACGAAAAAGCCCAGAAAAACCAAATGGGCAGATATAAATGAACAACACAAATGTGCCGTAATTTCCAAACCAAAGCTCGAGCGAATTTTAATATTTACAAGTGTCCCGGGAAACAGCAATACCATAGAGAAAATCTTGCTGATGACACCCTTGGGAGCAGTAAAATGCACCATACAGAAGAAATGGCTGACTAGCACAATTCATCTTTCCTATTCTTTGATTCTTGCAGCGAACCTCTCCTGGTCGACCCAAAGGGAAAGACACGTCCTGAAATGTCAATGGTTTCAATATTTCAAGGTTCATCAATGAAAAGAAGAGTAATGTTACATATCCCATACAATTTTAGGAACTGCACAGGTGCCCTTCATTCTTTGCGTCTTTTCATTCCGGTTGTGAACCTGCATCTCCGTGGCCATCCCAGAGGTTACTACCTTTTTAGATGCCCCAGCATTCTTGTTGAAAGTTTGAGCGTTGTGCGGGAGTTTGCTTGAAAGTTTCAATACCAGCGAGGTACCAAGTGCAATAAAGACAGCTCTATCTTAGAGCACACCGAAAGTGACAATAAGCACTGGACGAGTCGACGCAGTGCCCTTCAGGACGAAAGCCAGTTTGCAAGCACGGCAGAGTGTGTAGCTTTGCAACAACACGGTTTTTCCGGACAGCAACCAACTCTTCCATTTCCTTTGGTGCTCGTTGGCCATCGCCGGCTGCTCGAAGGTTACGAGAAAACAATCAAACTTGGAATCGCCCAGTCTGAGCCCTATACCTCCCCGACTCACGTTAGTTGCAACAAACTTTCCAGATCAGCTAAAGTTCCTCGGAGGTTTCCGTCTTCTCTGCTTGAAGGCATTTCAGATGCTACGTCGGATTGTTATCCCACAAAAGTGTGATCCGGCCCAAAAACATAAAAACTGCGCAAATGACGACCAGACTTTTCGGCGATAGTCTCCCGAATACAGAGAGATGAGGTGCTGCATGCGGTCTGCCAAGAGCACAAAATGCACCTGATCTCGAAGAACGCAGTGACCTAGACACCCAAAACGTTGCGTGCTTGCTCGTAGACGGAGGCAAAGCAAGAAGCTGAATGATCAACCAGTATACAAACTAGAAATTAAGCGCAACAAGAGCTACCTCTGAACAAACATGAGTCTCCATCTATACAATATATAATGTGAAAGCGATTCACTTTCAACATTTCTTTGCACAACAACGCTGATTCAGGGTTCCACCCGTGCCAGATGTCATTTCAAGACGTATGCCTCGTAGAACCAACGACACAGCAAGGTGTAAACAAACCAAACAAAATGCGCTTCGTTGAGGTCGATGAGGCGGCCAAGCTAGGGCATGCCGAGAGTTGCCAGAAAAACCCGTCTCTCCGGAAGAACTTCCACCTCCCAAACCTAACCGACCCTATCCCGCCGAAAGGGGCCCGCCGTCTCTGTGCATGTGCCAGCCGCAGAGACCGTCCTTCCATAGAGACAACATTTACGAATTTCTTTTTCCTTTATGCATTTAATGAACGTCACAATGTCACGCACAGTCACCGACGCGAGTCCAGGCATGGCGCCTGCGCGGAGGGCAGAAAAAAAAAACCTAAAGAAAACTCGAAATGACCGTACGTTGAGCTACGTTTGTGCGGAGAGCTTCGCCGCATTGTCCAACGCATCTCAAAAGGACAGTCACTCTCTTAGAAATGTTCCTCCCGACGACCTTTCGCCCGACGTCTCTGCGGCAAAGGGAAAACTAAACTAATGAGAAAGATGAAGCCACGAACAAGTCACGTTTCGCAAACGCAGCCGTTGCATCCTCCTCCGGCGTCGCGTCGTTTTCATGTCCGTGGCGATGACCCCGCGTCGGGGTCGCTCGACCGGAGGTCGGAGCGACCCTTGCGCTGGTAAGCGACAACGAACTGGCGGAAATCGAACCGAGACGACGTTCCCCGCTGCAGTTACGACCCTTTTCAAGGGGCACGGCCGAGAAGTCACGCGCGGTGGCTGGGAACGTTCCTCAGTTCCCCAGTAGCGTGCGTGCAGGTCGCATGAAAAAAAAAAGTAAATAAAATGTCTAAGACACAAACCAGAACAAACGATTCTTGGTGGGCTCTGTGCAGTCTCGCGGAGTCGTAGCCACCAAACGGCAAGTGCATTTACGCGACTTTTGCGAGAGCGAGTCCCGCAACAGTCCGGTGAGGTCACGTGAGACGGCCGGCTGGAGAAGCGGCGATGATGACGACAACGAAGCACGACGCTCTCCCGGCTACGACGAATCCGGCTTGGGGGCGTCGGGATCCCTCGTCGGAATCCGCGGAAGTGGAGTGACCGAAAAAGGGGGTCCTACCTCTCCCTCCTTTGGATCCCCGTCACGGCGGCAGCAGGCTCACTTGGATCATGGACAGGTCGAGCATGTGCCTGCCAAAGAGGGAGACGCTGGACGTAAGTGTTCAAAAGCCAAACAATAAGGTCCACGAATAAAAAAGAAATGAGCTTGTCTTAATTGCATTTCATAAACTCGGAGACGCATCGAATGTGTTGCAAATGAGTTGGCACATGCAGGGTGGGTGCGTGCATGTGTGTGTGACAAACACAATGTCGCACGACATCGGGGACTGGCAAGAATCGAACAGAGTTGAGCACAGGGGGAACACAACGTTCCCCCTGCAGAGTTTGAGACCCCTCATGCTAAAAAGGTGTGTTTCTTAGTCTATCGTAGAAAACTTGACAATCGATTTTCGAGAACAAATCTATATTGAGATACCCAAGCCTGGCAGAGTGTCGCAACACAAGTGATACATAGTAAATATATTTCACTACTCAGACAAATTTCTCAAATGTATCAAGACAGAAAAAGATACCCAAAAGTAAGTAGAACCTCGTTGATACATTTTTCAGGGGACCGTGGAAAAAAACATTATCCGGAAAAATGTAACAACTGACAATGCACTTAGGGGGGGCTCTGGGGGCTCTACACGAGATAAAAAGCAGCCCTTATACAACGGTTTATTTTATGTGTACTTAACTGTTGAGGTCTCGGACCTGTTCAAAAAAGTGTGTAATGTCTGCCTGCTGCTTCGAATTAATGTTAAGCACTAAAAGCCAATTCTCCAGGAGCCGCAGTCCTCTCTTACTCTCCATGCAGTTGTGAAAATTTACGAAGCCGCGTAAGGTGTCCAACGCAATGATTGCATCCGCAAACGTGGGCACAGTGTAATCGTTTGTTTCTTGCTCGACATCTTCATCACTTTCTTCTCTTTAAAACTTTTAACTTCTCTTTAAAAGGAAGTGCCTTCCTGTTTCGTGATGCCATGACCGTCGTCAATGGGCGCAAAGCGCACATACCCAGAGACACCACGGTTCACATAATTGAGTGGAACAGAAACTAGAAGTGCAGTGTGCATGCAGGTGCACCTCAAGCCAGAGAAAGAGAAGGGTAGATGAAAGAGAGAGCAAGAGTCGCCAGCCTTCCTCCCCGTTCAAGCTGCGCTCCACGATCACACCCGGGCAAGATGGGAAGCTGTGGCTCAGCAAAGCCCAGCGAGGAGAGACGGAAAGGAGTAAAGGGAGGACGGGCGTCTGCATGCCCACGCATGCTGTGCGACCCGGATTGCATGGTTCGGCTTTGCTCCGCTAGCTTTGCTTCCGAGCCAGCGTGGCAGCCTGGTGCCCGGCGTGCCGAGACTTTTGGACGTAACAACCGGGAAAGCAAACATAACAGGCAAAAGCAAATACATGTATCTCTATGGATAAAACAGGACCGGCTGTTTTGAACGTAACAGCCGGGAAAACGAATTAACTCGTATTAACCGAGAACATATCAACAAGGTTCCACTGTATCTCTAAAATACTGCATTGCGATACTGCCCAGCCCCTTGGCAAACCCCACGTTAAAAGTTAAAGATCTCCTTTGATCTCTTCAGAGACGTCCCATATGTGGAATGTATAGGTGAGATATCGCCGCGTGCATGGCTGAGAAGGAACGCCACTCCATACTTCTGGAAGATTTGCGTTTACTCTTACCCCCACTGTGCGACACTCCAACATTCTAGGACGAATGTTCGAGATGCCAGGCGTAATAGATAAGGAGGCCAACATGGTGTTGCCGAGTCAGTCCTCCCTAGTGTTCAACGCTCACACATTCTAGGCTGAACGTTCGACATACTGGCTGTAGTAATAAGGCCAGTTCGCCAATTAAATATTTATTTTCAGTTTTACGCTATCCTTTTACAATATACGCGACTCTGGGCAGCGTTACGGCATGACATCATGTCACACCGCGAGTTAAGAGACCTAATGTGACATCGCAGGCACCACGACTTAATGTCACGTCACATATATACCCGACGTTGCCCAACACGCACCACATGTCAGTGCGACACATGCCGAAAAACCTGTCGGCAGGCAAGAAAACAATACTGCCTTTCTTTCCCGCGAGCTTTTTTCCCCGAAATAAACGCTACAGAGAAACACAATGTCATATTTTGGTTCGACGAATATTAGGCTTATATAGACGTTGGCTCATAGAGGAACTTTGTTTTTCTTGCCGAACTTTCGATTTGGGTAATGTCGCGTGCCGAAAAGCCGAATTTCATTTCCTCGGTTGCATACGGTGTATTATTTTCTCGGGCCGTCGCGCGAGGTTCCCAAAGGACGCTGGCCCCATGAGTGGGGTGTAAAAGCCCGGGCGCTCACCTCTGATACTTCTTCTGGAATTGCACGGCCTGCTGGTGCTCCTTGAACTTGAGCACCGCCTGCCGCTCCGTGCGGTCCAGGATGATCTCCTGCACCCGTCGAAAAAAGAAACCGAGGAATCAACTCGCCCGTCGCGAGCCGACCCACAACGTCGATCCAAGCACGCCACGGGGAGAGGAGGGACTCACGCTGATGACCCCGCACGTCCGTCCCAGCTGGCGCAGTCCATTCTCCGTGGTGGACACAGACAGGTTGGAGACCAGGACACGGCCCGCGCTGGGACCCAGGCCCCCGCTCGGGGACAGCACCACGTAGCCTCCAGGCGCCTGCACGCGCGAGGACACGAGCCTTCGGTGTAGGGACGGCGGGGATCGAGAAGAAAGCAATTCGAGGGGGACGCTCCCAACAGCTCGGCAGTCCTCAAACAATATTTCTAAAGCAGGATCTGTTATGTGGCTTGCTCCTAACCAGTAACACAGCCCACAAATGCTGCGTCACCTGTGCTAGCCATAGTGTGTTGTTGGGGCAGGGAGGGCCCCTCACGAAATGCTTTCTGCTCACACGATGGATGGACTCCTCCTCTTAAGCATTCCCTAAAGCGGGAAGGGTGGAGAGCTTTACGGGAGGAGCTGGTCTTGACCCACATGCAACACGCTACAGCAGTCTTACTGCACTGGCTATGGCCCCTGACAATATGAGAACGGCAAAGAGGTTCTTCCGTTGTCCGGCTTCCTGCTTTCAATGATGCTTCGCTGACTCGCAAGCTTCGAGCATTCACGAGCGGCAAAAGAATGGTGGAAGGCCATGAGCGCATGCTAGAGGCATTTGAAAGAGATGCCCCGTGGCTACGGCAGTTGTAACGTATTGGCTAGATTTCTCGTCTACTGTATTTACTCGCATAATGAATGCACATTTTTTCCCGGAAAATCGATGCATTTTTGGGGGGTGCTCATTACGCGAGGTAAAATTTTTGCATTTACACACTTTGCACGAATGTCATTTTAGGTGCCAATGACATGGTAGGGTACCATGGCACGTCTCCACTGACAGAGGCGCACCCAAGGCTGGTCGTGGGTGCGCCACTGTGACCATGCTCTATAAATTGCGAACCTTCTTTAGGGCGCTTTCAGCATGCCTTTTACCGAAGGAAAAGCACGCTACGGAGCTCACTCGGCAAGGAGAGCGACGCGACCGTTCTTAGGCCTAACCACTTTCACAATATCAATGTCCACAAGCGGATCACAGACGACGGCGTGTTTGTTAACATCAATGCATCCGATGGACGAAGCACGTCTGGGGCTGGGCAATTCCTCGACCTCAGCTTTGCTAGGCGTGCACGCCGCTCCATTTCGCGGTTGATTGCTTCCGCAACCACGCAATTACAGCCATTACGAGAGCGGCTTGGCTTGGCCTGGCCGCTTGGCGGCAAAAGAAAATTGGTGTGCTTGCTGGCTAGCTGGCTAGCTAAGTTGGACACAGTTCAAGACTCGTGGAGCCGAAAATTAGAAATGGGTCCATTACGCAAAAAAAAAAAAAAGAAAATTAAAATAATTATGCCTTTCGTGGGGGCACGGTGCGTTCATTATGCGAGTAAATACGGTATACTGCGAATCAGTGCTGCCATAACTCAGACCGACCATCTAATCTGCTCCTTCGGCCTCCCCACCTGAGTCCCAAGGAGGGGTGCCATCATGCGCAGGTGCCCGCCTCCCGGCATCTGGAGGCGGCCGTTGTGGGACACGATGCGGATCATCTTGCGTGGGAACGAAGCACCCCCAGGCTCCTGGGGAAACCTGGGCGAAGGCACGTTGCCCCGCTGCGCTCCCGGCTGCTGGAACACCATACAGAAGGAACGAATGAGGCACCCACGTTCCAACACCGAGAATTCGAATGCCCTTGCTTCGACCATTCTCGTATGTTGCGTGAAATTTCGTCATCCCCCATCTCTTATCAAATGTCCGCATAACCGAGGGACTTCGATGCACTACCTGGATACAATATTTCCATAAATGATGGTAATAAATTTGCACCCCCTTCCTTTCTAGCCCCCAAAATGGATTATGGTGTATTTCCTATTGTATTCGTGTCGTGGGGGCTATTTTTTTTTTAAATATGTAACGATGATAATAATGACGAGCAGACTCATTGTAGTTTTCTATCCAGCTCGTCCGTATAGATGTTTGCGAGGGTAGTCCCAGCCTAGCCTCGGACCGCGCTGCATGTCAGGAATGAGGTGCTTCCACTCTCCGACTAAGACGTCGTCTGCTTCTTGTCGGTGCGCAACGCACTCCTACAAGATTATGTGATTATGCGCAATTGTGCAGTCTTCCAAAAATCTTGCGCTGGAGATCAGAGTCAGCATGGATTTTATCGTTGACGCTGCGGGTTTATTTTAGCTGCGAAGTGCTACCCTTGATTGTAGCACTCCACACTCCGTTTCACCTTGCGACGACCCACAGAAAACGCTACGAGCCGACATGGTTAATAAGATGCCACTTGCGTATAGTTGCATGTCAGTTACAACGATAAACCGGTACACACCCAAGAAAAGACTCCATCTACCCATGCAGCAATGTCATAGCGCAGCTTCAGGGCGGCAGAAACGTTTCTGCTTTGTTTGTTTACCTCATAAGCTGGTGCTCTATGGGCGCTTGGGACCTCAAACTCGCAAATTTGTTGATAGCGTACAACATATATGTGCATACAAGTTAAGGTTATCGATGGTCTGTACAGTCGAGCCCGGTTATATCACAACCGGGTATTTCGAATTATTGTTTATATCAAACAGTCCAAACACCACCTTGAAAAGACTCATGTAATAGTATAGGAGCGTTGCTTTTCTGTGTCCAACTCCCATGATGGGGGACACTCGATACAGACAAACCCACTTATAACGAACCCACGTATAATGACCTCTCGGTTATGACGGCCAGCTTTCAGGAAATATATGAATTCAAGGCCCTACCCATTAAAATTGATCAAGATAAAACAACCGTTTTTCAAAGCATCATACTGATACAAAAAACACTAAAAATCCGCTTTCAAAAAAAGGAAAAAAAAAAACAAAAAAAACTCCCACATGCAAAAAAAGAGAATAAAGAAAAAAAATGAGCTAGATACCGGGGGCGGCGCTCCGGGAGACGGTCAAGGTCATTTTTACGGCCCCGCGGCGTAGTTCCCCAAGAGGAGGAAAGAAAACTACAAAAGCAAAAACGCCCCGGGGTCGCGTAGTCTGCCGATTGTGAAGAAAGGAGAAGAGGGAAGTCAACTCTCGCTATGCTACGTTCGTTTGTTCTATGTTTGCAATGCTCAATGCTCAGTATAAGGTGGCTAGCCCCATTGCCATTGTGACTGTTTACGTTCACCATTTTGGTATTCTATCATGCACATTCTCTCGCGTCTACGGACTCGTGTCTGTCGTTTTAAAATAGAAAAAAAAATCCACTAGGAGCTTTATTTGAACGAAAGGGCATCACATGGTGGAACAAGATAACAATGGCGCAGCACTGCGTGACCCAGCAATCCCAGCCACCCGACAAACTCGCAAAGTGTTGTTTGAAAGACAACCCTGCCAGAGGCGACGGCCACGCACTCGTACATGTGCAGGAAGCACGGTACTTAAAATGCTTGAGACTTAAGGAAGTATTGATTACCTTTGCGGACTAGTGCACGGCATTCATTTGTGTTGGCGTGCATTTCATAAAATGTGTTCTATGAGGTACGTGGTCAATCTTCATTATCTTACCTGCACGGTAGAATCGGCAGCAATTTACTTTTTCATTATCTGAAAGCAAAATCTTACTGCGCGTTAGAATTTGGGGCGCAATAGAATCGTGCAGTTTCTCTAAATAAAGAACTGGCAGAGTAAAACTACCACTATCAGCTTTATTCTCCTTATTTATAACATGTTTTAAAGGTAAGTCCAGATATAACGAACTACTGATAAAACGACTACTTTTCGCGGAACTATTGTGTTCGTTATAAGTAGGGTGTGCATTTTCCGGTTTTAACCGAAAAACACCGATAAACATCCGTCGGCGACGAAAATATAAAATCGGTTAAAACCGAAAAACACCGGTGGTTGGATATTTTCGCCCTGGTTAAAACTGAAAAACACCGGTCGTTGCTAGTTTCCGACCTAGCGAAACCCTTTCCCCCGTAGAGGTTCGCCAAACGTGTTATCTCGTGGATCCTGCATTCTTCCAGTATTTATACATGGCTTGCAGGTGGCGTCAGTCCGCCCTCCTTTCTGGGGGTCAAAAGCGTCTAGTGAACGCAGTGGAAGCTAAGCTCTCATACGCCTTTCCCCTATTGTGTCTCCCATGGCCCCCTTTTGTGGAAAAAGTAACACAGTGGAGGGTAGGCTCTCACGTGCCTTTTCCTCATTGAGTCTGGCCAAGTGATGTCGGTGCAAGCCATGTATTCAGAGGTTGCTGTGGTTCTTGGAAGACACTGTCAGCGTCCGTGTCGTACAGGAGCTGGAGGGTAGGCTCTCACGTGCCTTTTCCTCATTGAGTCTGGCCAAGTGATGTCGGTGCAAGCCATGTATTCAGAGGTTGCTGTGGTTCTTGGAAGACACTGTCAGCGTCCGTGTCGTACAGGAGCGTGCGTTTTCATAATTGCGGTTTGCGAACCGCAAGGAACGTGCTGCCCTTATGGCAGCACGTTCCTTGCGTGTAGATGCAACCATGAAAGTATGCTTGGCATCTACTATAATAACCAAGTGTTAGAAATAGTTGCTTCCTGGAGAATAAGTGTATGAACTATGTGAATAAAATTGGAACTCTGTCTGTGATCAATCGCTTTTTTTCACCGATATTCACCGATTTTAGCCTCGTCGTGAGGCGTTTCACCGAAATACACCGGTGTTTTGAAAATAAATAAACACCGAAAAACATCCGCCGATTTTTCTCACAAATAAACACCGGAAAGTACACACCCTAGTTATAAGTGGGTTTGTCTGAATAGACGTTTCCTGTTTCCTGTCGTTCTCAGTCACATGGATTCCGTATCTGGTATGTGGGACAAAAAAAATAAAAAAACATTTATTAATAATAAAAAACATTATTAGAAAATATAGGCGAGTCAAAATGAGAATGTGTGACCAATTGCATATTTTTTGTAAACACCTTCCAGCGGTGTGGAGCAATCAAAATGATGTTTTACTGCATACCAGAAGTGACGAAATTCAAGATGGCTGCGCAATTGTGGAAAAGGTGAATAGCAAAGGAAGCACTGCACCCAGCACCCACCGCTGCCCCCCACCCCCCCTGCCACCCGTTGGGGTCGGATTGCGCCAACCGCCGCCGCGAGCCCAGGGTTCGCGTTGCGGAGCTGGAAGACCGCCAAGCCACCATACGTGGGGGGATATGCAGCAAAAAAATAAAAAAAAGGGCAACGCTGTGCAACTCCTTGGCCCCAAAATGAGATAAGTAAAAACCAAAAAACAAAAAAAATATTCCTCAAGTTGAGGTGTGTTGCGGTTGAGCAATCGCACTTTGGACACCTTACTTTGTTTACCTTTTCTATCGCCGTTATTGCTTTGCCCGCTTTTTTTCTTCTTTTTGCCTTTTTTTGTTGCCTGAATTTAGTGAGCTTTCTTTTTTGTTGCTTGCTTAACTTTAGTCTATAGATCGAGAGTTTTTTTAGGTGGCTCGCTTTTCCCGTTCTTTTATTTTTTTTAAATTATCTTTGTGTTTTGTCGCAGGTGCTGTGTGAAGGTCGTGGCTAAGCGCGCGCGTAAACGCGGTGGTGTTTGCGATCTTCGCCAACTATGCTCTACAGTATTTAGCGGCTCTTAGATGCTCTATCTGGTAAGGTCCTGTATGTCGCGGCCTTCGGTATAAGCAGAGAAGCGCGGAAATTTTAACTGGAGCTCAAGTTAACATGTATTTGTATATCAAATTATAGATATATCAAAATACTTTACGATCCCCTTTGAATTCGATATATCCGGGTTCGACTGTACTAGTTTGTAAGCAATGTCAGAAAAATTAAAATTTTCCCAGTTGAGTATTTCTGAATGTTTGCTCGGTGTATGCAAACTCAAAATTGAATATATTTGTCGCTGTTTCTCGGTCAGAATGACATCCGCTTTTATCACTGTAGCAAAAGGATCTGGTGAGATTTGAGCTCGCAGTGAGATTGTGTATGTTGAAATCGATGCCGTCCCGGGACGGCATATCGGTTTTTGTCTAGTCCCCCTTGCGAGCCTAATATATAGATAATGAAAATAAATGAAGCGTGCATCTATTAAATGTCATCTGGCCACTTTCTGTTACGCCAGAGAATGACAATGCACCCTGTGTTTGGGCACGGCTGCTGTGGTGTGGCTGCTGTGGTGTTACCGTCATTTTAATGCAGAATGCGTTTTAGGGCTGCCTTTTAAGTCTAGGACCCCACAAAAGGTCGTAACAAAACCATAACACGGTCAGCTGTCTTTCCAAACAACCAGTTTGTGCATCGGCGAGAACCGAACCAACGAATTTTCGCTCTGTAGTCTGATGCTCTACCCCTGTGCTAGCCGGGCGGCTGAAGAGTTAATCCAGCTGCTATTGCCAATTTTCATAATGTTTTCGAACCTACTTTTACGGCTACGTAGTTATTTAGATCGCCAGATTCCCCAAAACACGCAGCAAAAGCGTGCAACGGGATGCTACAAACACCAAAGCATCACTCATACAGCGATATCTCACACGGATGACCATATTTAAAAAAAAAAAAAGAGGCGCATTTGGCAGGAATGTTGACGTCATGTTTCTCCGAGAAGGATTGGGAACGGCCTTGTGTCATCTCCGCCTCGCGGCCTTGAGGGAGCGAAGCGAAAAGAGGAGGAAACTAGGTATCTTGACGGTCACGTGCCTCGTCGGCCTAGTTCAATCTAGACTTCTTTTTCCAGAAATACAACCGTCCATTTGAGATATCGCCTCACTAGTAGTGTTGTAGGGATCGTAGCGTCCCGCCTGCATCTCCAGCATTGTTTTTTTGAAATCCAAGTTTCGGTTCACCATCCCTTTAATAGCTAGAGAAGGCTGGCAAGAGAATCTGCTGCCACGGATTACTGTTCTAGCCACTAGGTACCGTATTTGCACGAATATAACACGAGTTTTTTTTCGAAATTATGTGCTCCAAAACGCACCTCGCGTTATATTTGGAATCGAGTTCAGCCTAGAGGCGCGCCAGTCTGGAGAAAGCCAGAGGAGAAAGCCATCCCTCCGGCTCAATGCAAAATATCCGGTGTGAAAAGAAGTGGGGGTGCGGAAGGTAATTTATTAGCTATTTGGCCACGTGAAGGGGCGAATAGAAAACATAAAAAAGCATTTTTATCGCTTTTGTGTTTGTACAACGCGCGCAGGCACGCCAGCAGAAACTCGGTGCGCGCGCGCCAAGCGGGAATGTGGGCACTGGCCAATTCGAGCCAAGCTGGGCCAAGTCAAGCCAACACAAGCCAAGCCAAGACCACGAACCGCGTTTACGCAGTCGTGCAACACGAGGCATTTGTTTATGCAGAGGGACCAGAACAAGAAGTGTGATCGTGTATTGGATTCAGCAGTTTTTTTTCCGCCTGAGCATTGTTTAGTTTCTGCTCCAGAGTGATCTGGTGTTTGTGTGTTGGTTCTTCTGCTTCTTGCCTTGTTTCGATTGTGGGCGGCTGCGGAGGAGCTCACACAGAAGAAAAGGGAACTGCCCGACAAGCAGGTGCCGTGCTGCTGCTTATCTGCGTTGTCGCCAAGTGGATTGTAAATGGAAGGACCCGAGCAGTCAGGCTGAGTGCAGTCAAAACTGGAATACTGGAATCACAAGCTCGAATCACATTCTAACGAGCCACGAACGGCCCGCTGCGCAGCCGCAGCAGGAGAGCCACAGTTAACACTGGGGTGTTCCAACATGGCTGCCCAGTTGGGCGTTGCCGCTCGCCATCAAAGTAGTGCACCCTGGTTTCACGTGGCTAGGTGTGCGTTGCACCTGATAGGTGGCGTTAGCGGCGACGGCTGCCTTTTGCGCAATTTTTGCGTCTCCACGCATTTTCTTTCGTTTTCCGAGTGCGCTGTCTTCGCTTTGTCTGTTTGTTCTCCGGTGCCCCCTATTCATGGCTCTCGTGGTATCATTAACCACCGTGACAATGTCAAGAAAATGCAAGCCGCTGTCTCTAAAAGAAAAGAAATGGACATTAACTGCAAGGTCGAAGAAGCGCGTAGACCTGGCACGCGAAGTAGGCTTGCTGGTTTCTACTTTTAACCCTATTGTCGGCAAGCGGGAAGAAATCCGCAACAAGGTGCAAGTGTTCGGCGCGAGTGTCAAGCAAACGAGAGGTGTGCAGCATGCACAGATATCCTCCTGGCTTGGCTTAAGGGGAGACACGGGTCTTGGGGAAGAAAAAAATTCAAAACATTAATTTTGTAATTTTTTTTTCCCCCGATGTAGATGTCCTTAACAAGCTACTTTCCAAATATTAAAGAGTTCTGATGAGTATTTATTACGATATAAGACTTCAAAGTCAAGTACATTGTCGTTTTTGCTCACAAAATGTTGTCAAGAACAGTCAAATTCAACACTACGCCAAGAGAGAACCACACTGCGTAGCGCGGCCATTTTAGTCTCGTTTGAAAGCCGCACTTTCGCGCTTTACGTTTTTTAGCGGAATGAATATTGTCAGTCCGACAACAGTCGTAATCTGAAAGAAACAAAAATAAGAATACTCGCACACCATTGGGGCTTTTGAGTCACGTGTGGTGAATGCTCTCCTATAATTGGATGCGACGAAAATTCGGCTGCTAGACAAAAGCGAAATGCACCGCCATCTTGGACGCATCTGCTTGCGCATCGCTGCGTATCGCTGCTACGATGGCCGGTGGTCATTGAAAGTTTCGAAGTGCGCATCCCTTCGGCAAGAAAAAAACGTCGGCCTCGGCCACGAGAGGTTTTGTCAGATCCACCTGCAGCGGAGGCGAACGACACGGCGAGCAACGCGAGCGCGCCCACGGACGATGCGATCGCGCATGTGATACCCATGGCCAAAGTGACGCGTGTGGACACTCCGCTTCTTTCCGACGCGCAAAAAGCAGAAATCGAGTCTCGCGCGAGAGATACAGAGCAGAAGCTTTCTCAAATGTCCGCCACTCGACGGAAGCAGTCTCTTTTGGGAGAAAAAACAGAAGATGCTGACACGACGGCAACGGGAACATCGTTCACCGTGCTAAGCCTTTCTGCTTTGAACGAGCTGCTTCGGCGTGTGAAATGCAAACTCTGCGGCAGCTCGGTAAACATCTCGAAAGGAGGCCGAGAATATGGAATTGCCGTGAAACTGATCTTGAATTGTGATGCATGCGGAGAAGTGGATAGCACTTGGAGTTCGCCGAGAGTAGGCGGGGACGCAAAGTGCAATCCGTTCGAGGTGAACGTGCTTGCGACTCGTGCTGTTCTCAGTAGGGGGAATGGACGGGAGGCACTCACTTGATCGAATGACGTTTTAGCGAACGCCCACACTTCATCGAACGACACTTTAGCGAATAGTCCGACGCCGCGAAGCGGCGTTTTCGGGTGGGCCAAGTGAGCTCATATTTTTGTAATGAGTTGCCGCCAGATGGAAGTCGAAGCTGCCGCAGACCTCTTCGGTCGTTCGTGGAACAAGCATCGACTCCGCTACACCACCATGCTGAGCGATGGTGATAGCCGGGCTTTCAACAACCTCCAAGCGGACAAGGTGTATGGTTTTGTGCCCATTGAAAAAGAGGACTGCATAAACCATGTGAGCAAGCGAATGGGTACTGCTCTCCGAAACCTCGTCCAAAAACAGAAGGGAGAGGGCAGGCCAAGCCTTGGTGGCAAAGGGAAGCTAACGGGTGAGCTGATCACGAAGCTCACGATGTACTACGGCTGGGCACTGAAGGGACACCAGGGCGACATCGATGGGATGCAGAACGCTGTTCTGGCTACTTACAACCATGTGACATCCACCGACGCCCAGCCAAACCACTCGCTCTGCCCAAAGGGACAATACTCCTGGTGCAAGCAGAACAAGGCTGCGGCAAAAAAGCAGCCTGCACCCAAGCATTGCTACAATTTGCCACAATATGTCGCAGAAGCCTTGCTTCCAGTGTACATGCGTCTCTCCGACAGGAAACTGCTGGAACTCTGCCAGCGAGGGAAGACGCAGAACTTGAACGAGAGCCTGCACGCTGTAATTTGGTCATTGGTGTCAAAAAGCAGGCATGCTTCCCTGTACACTGTTGAAGCTGCCGTAGCTGAGGCAGTGATGAGGTTCAATGCAGGGAAAGAGTGTGCGACAGAGGCGATTTTGAGAGAGCTGAACATCAACGTGGGCAGCAGCAGCCTTCAAAGGTGCGGCGAGAAGGATCGCCGCCGGCTCGCTGCATCTGACAAGAAGCATAAGCAGGCTGAGAACTTTCGGCACGCAATGAAAAGGAAGCGGACCAGTGTAAACGAAAAGGACTATGTGCCTGGTGGTTTCTAGAGTCGAAGCCAGCTGGATTCACCCACTACCTCTGTGTAAATAAAGCGTCTTCATGTTTTAAACTTCGTTTCTTGTTTTCTCAAAACTACTTTTCGTGCCACAATGCGGGCTGTTGCCCACGGTATCTCTGGATGCACTGGTTTGATTTGCATGATTCTTGTTGCATATGAAAGCTTAAGAACTGGTTGGTGCAACCATACCAAGAGAATGTAATATTTATTTGTTAAATTATATTTTAATTAGCGGCTAAATTAATCATGTGTTTGTTGTTCTTCAAGGCCTTACTAGATAAGAGCACAATATTTTTTTTGATAAAGCTAAAATTAAAATGGTGGTGTGGTTGCACTCTCTGGTCTTTCTAGAACATGTACACATAAAATTTATATCAGTCATTAAAGAGGAAGTTATAAAAAAGCTGGGCAAAATGACCTAACATGATGTCATCATTATCTTAAAATATATAAGTGTTAGACAAGAAGTGACTGGATATTTGCTTAGAGCTTATCAAAGAGCACTATGTAACAAAATTTCAACTATGTAAGTTAAAAATTAATGAAAATAGCCATAAGAGCAGTGTCTGCCCTTAAAGAAGTACGAGCAGCAGGTGTGAACATCGACGGTAAAGTTAACTTTCAAAGGAACTTGTTTATCGACATTGAAAAGAATAAAACCCAAACCAAAGTGTCCAACTATTTCAAAGCTGCGGAATAAAAAACGAGTTTCTCATCGGGTATGCATGTTTTACATTTTCGAGCTTATTTTGGATACTACGATTTTCGGGTAATACGTTTTTTCTGTTCCCGTGGATATTGTATCGACGAATTCCACTGTAATTGCGAAAAAATGGGGGATGGGCATTTGTCCGGTCATCCATTGTACATATCAATGTACTGTGCATATTTTCTCAGATCTTGTAAATTTGGGAATGGGCGAATGCGCGGAATTTTATGGTGTGTACTCGTGTGGCCGCAAATCACGACGCCTAGGCAGAAGACTGCTCGAGACCGTCTCAAAGCTTCTTGGAAGCGTAGAAAGAATGAGACAAAAACTATAAGTTACATTTATAACGCCGCATAAAGCCGACCGATGCAGAAAGCATAGTGCGATTGGCCCAACAAGCAAAACAAGGTTATCACAAAACGACGGGTATCTATCGATTCCAAAGAAAACTCGCCAAAATGTTGGGGCAAACGCGCCAAATTTTATCTGTGGGTTTGCAGCACGGTGTCTCGGAGAGCAAGGCTGGCGAGGGCACCCACCTGGGACCTGAGGGGCACCACGTTGCCGGCGCCCCGGATTCCCGGCGGCACGCCCGGCCTGATCTGGGGCGGCGGGTTCTTCCTCACGATCACCACCTTCTTGAGCGCCGAGCCTTCGGCGCCGCCGACCTCGGGCTGGGCGGGCGGCGGCCTCGGCCCCAAGCGCTGCTTTACCCCTCCCGGCTGCGCCTGGACCACCGTGATGGCCGCCGGCTTAGGCTGCGACCCCAGCAGCGAAGACCTGGCCTGCGCCGCTGGTGCTGGGGCTGCGGATTTGCGACACATATCAATATAGCACGACACATATTAATGTAGCATGACACATATCAATGTAGCAGCTAAACTGCGCGCTGGCCGAGCACGCGCTTTAGCGTCAAGCGAGCAACGATAGCGGTGATAGCTTTCAGTGCACCATAAGGTGCCATGCTGAAGCTTGGGGAGCGCCGAGGGAAGGGTGTATACACATCAGAGTAGGCCACGCACCCTGCCCCTTAGGCTCACTTCAAAGCGGCACAGTCTGTACTGCGAGCCACGCACTCCTCTGTTCGCATTTCATTTTTCCCCGATAGTACATGCATACCTCGATCAAGCACAAGGCACGGATTGGACGGGAGTGCAGTGACTTGCGCTTAATTAACCTGATCACCGACTGAACACAAGTCACTGAACGAACACGTGCGGCTGGGATTGCTTTTCAATTGGCTCAATCACCAATAAAAAAAAAGCTCAAGGTACACCTAAGCATTTCTTATGAGTTCCGAATGTGAAAGCATGCAAGCCGCTCGTCCGCTCCCTTTGTCGTCTGCTCGTCTGCTCCTTTTGTCCTCTGCTGCGTACCAGCGCGGGTGCGCTTCAGGATCTCGGAGGCCATGGCACAGCGGCCAATGAAAGCCCCGTCCACGTGCGCCAGCCAATGAAACCGAAGGCGCGCGGAAACTATCTGCCGTTTTCGCGCTTCCAACTGATGACGTCAGCTCGCTCCATGAGACAGTTAATGCTTTTGCTTTAAAAGACAAATTACGGATTGAACGAGAAATAACCGACTGACCATGTCTGACAGAAGCTTCTGTCCAATCCAACGCTGGTCACGGCTGGAAACTAACGAATTTGGGGGTTTTACACGCCAAACCAACAAAGGTTATGTGCCAAGCCTCAGCGGAGGACTGAGAATTATTATATGTAGCTGCATATTCAGTAAAACCTCCCTAATTCCAATCCCATGGGACCAGCAGAAATGTTCAAATTATCCGAAAGTCGAATTATCGAAAGGACGAAGAAAACTGCGCGAAAACGTTTCCCTGCGACATAGGTTGATTTTGAGAAGAAATCCCTCCTTAGCGTGGTCAGGTGCTCCACCGCACTCGCACTGTCAGAGCTGCGCATCCCTTGCGCTGACGATCCACCACAGCAAGACTTCTTCCTAGTTTCGGGTGCACCACCTTCCACAGCCACTTTCTTTCCGCACTCTACAGTAGAACCTCGTTGATACGTTCCCGGTTTGTGTGATGTTCCGGTTCATACGTTCACGAATGAGGGCATGGGAAATATCCCATAGAGTTGCGCTGTTTTTTTTTTCCGGTTCCTACGTACCCGGATAACACGATTTCCCGGACAGTACGCTCAACTATCTGCCAAATATTGATTGGATTATACGTTTCTTGGCAATCAACGTCGCACTGCCATATTCGGAGCTCCGAACATCCGGTCTAGACGAACGAGCGCCGAGCAGCTGTCCTCAGGCGCATACGACCGACACAGCGCTCGCATTCGGAGCGGTCCGCCCGCCGATAACGCCGCTGCTGCGTCTATTGTTCTCCGCAACTTCCGAGAGCCGTCCGGGTGCACAGGGCGTTTTGATTGGAATTACAGACCACACAGCACGGTTTTACTGTCTTAGCTCATTATTCGATAACCGTATCTACCCGAAAATAAGTCGACCACGAAAATAGCTCAACCTCTACTTATTGAACCCACCAATAATTAAAAAATATAATTGAAATATAGGTCGCCCCCCCTTTTTTTTTTTAAGAACAGAGGAATGTTTGGGCAAAAGAAACAAACAAACCTTTATTTACAGCACTCTCAGCTGAATCACGGCGTGATGCCAAAAACTTGTCAGACCTTGTGAACATGTCATCGTTGTTGGAAGCTTCCTCAGCTCGGTAGACATCCTCACAAATTCGCAACGATACCTCACTGACACCGTTGCAAAATGACAACAAACGAAAGGAAGTGGAGACGGGCGAGTGACGAAACACCAAATACAAAGATGCGAGCAACGCCACAAGTCGCCGTGAGCAACGCGCGAGCCGCTGCAAGCAACAACAAAAAAATAACCTAGATTTTTTTATGTGCGCTTATTTGCACGAGAGAGAGAGAGGGATGGAGGAGAGGGGAGGGGCAAGGTGCATGGTGCATCGCGCTCCTCTCCCTCCCCTTCCCCCTTGCATAGCGAGGGGAATGCGTGAGCGGTGCTGGCAGCGGACAGGCACAAAACCCGACGCCCGAGGGATGCGCGCTGTTCAGCTTTTTTTGTGCACCAAAATCTCTCTGAAACAACAAGCAGGGCAGCTCTACAGCAACGCCGGCTCGGTAACTCGATAGCTCCATGCCCTCGGTAGGGTCGCAAAGTTTCATCACGAATGTAGGTCAAAATTCTTTGGTCACGATTCACTCTCACTAACTCCAGCAAGCACTTGGAGGCATTGTTCAGAAGGTTGACAATTGCAAGAGTGTGCAAGAGTAACTCTAGACTAGGACGTACAAGGGAGTGGTAGCGGTTGCAGTAAATGAACAAATCCGGCATTTCTTTGTTTCTTTCTTTGCATTGGCTAAGCTTTGGTTACTTCATCAAGTTTCTCCAACGCTTTGGCAGCTTTGGCTTCGCTTTGCGCCCCAAGCCTGCGCCATCCCATCTCACTATATTTCCTGTGCCATGTATTCTTCGTTCGTTCTGCGATGGCATCCCGAAAGTGACACCATAGCAGAACTGCTTGTTTTTAAACTATTGCTTGTTTTTTTGTTTTTTTTGTGTGAGTGTGTGTGCTTAAGACTTTAAGTTCGGCTCGTACATTTTCTCGACTAACACATTTTTTTTTTTTTCTCGCAGTTTCTTCAAAACGTATTCCCCCCAACGAGGTTCTACTGAACTTTTCGCTCTTGAAAGCCTGTAGGATCTCAGCCTCAATTTTCACGTATGTGGCCAAAGTTGTACGTATGTGGCCAAAGTTGACGTTGTACCTTTCGATCACTTGTTGTTGAAAGACACCGTCCTTCAAGGCCCTCAGTATTTCCACTTTCGTCACTAAATTCTTGGCCTTATACAGCTGCAACGAAAAAAGAGTAGCACAAGTGACCGACGTCCGGGGCGGCAAAATAGCGACACTATTGTTCTTGAGCGCGCTGATAGCGAGAGTGCCAGTCACGTTGCATGTTTCAACGCAACGTGACTGCCGGCCACCCCCGCATTGAGGCATGGAATATGACTGCCACTCTCACCATCGGCGCGCTCGAGAACAATAGCGCCGCGTGTCACGATTTTGCCGCTCCAGTCCTCGGTCACTTGTGCTACTCTTTTTTTGTTGCAGCTGTACTTCAGCCGCTTCCACGCCAGGAGACTAGAGCACTGAGGCACGGCAATCCAGAGCATAACTGGTGCGAAACACAGAGAACCGGAAGAGCGAAGAACCGTGGGAAAAACCGGAAAAACCACGTGTGCACTATAGAGGACACGAGCAAAAAAGACACAAACAAGTAGAAGAAGAGGACAGGACAAAGCGCTGCTATCAACTGGCGTTTTTAATGTGAAAGAGGAGAACGAACCTGGAGATTTTTTTAGTGATAGAAAAAGAAGAGCAAGGCTGCTGTCAAAGCCAAGAAACCAAAGGAAGGAAAATATTATTTTTGATGCAAAGCTATAAAGAAAAACAGGACTGGGAAATTGAGACTAGAGAAAGAAGATAAGAAAAAAAACAATTCGGAACAAAAATTAGAGAAAAAGAAAGAAGTTTAAAGAAAAATTTAAAAGAGAAATAAAAATTGAAAAATTGTAGAGTTTCAAGAAAAGAAATTGAGGTATAGGGAGTTCTCTGTCAGATGGTGCACTAATGCAAGCGCCCCCTCTGGCTTTCATGATTTGAGCCTCGGAGATCTCCCTGGGGTTGTGGGTTCCAATTTCAGCAAACCCAGGGGTGAATTTGCAGTCTCGGATATGCAGGGAGATGTGTCCTGCCGGAGATGATTTTAGTGAAAGGGTGTGTTCGCGTAGTCTGGTGTTGGCGCACCGGCCAGGCTTGGACTAGTAGCACTTTGTCCTGTCCTGTTCTTCTGCTTGTCCGCGTCTTTTGCACTCTTGCCCTCTATCACGCATTAGCAACTAGCCCAGCAGTTAATTCTCATACACGTGTGCACCTCGGCTTGATAGCGGTCATACCCTTTGGAACGGACAGTAGCTTGCGCCACCTGCTGAATTCGTCTGAATTAATCGTGGCGCACCACACTCCCTCCAAATTAAAGAGTGTTTGGTGCCATTGACTGATACAGACGTTTGACAAGACCAGATTGGAAGTTCAAATTATCCGTATCAGCAAGGGTTGTATTGACGAAGTTTTACTGTAAATGGACCTTTTTGGAAAATGGAAATGTCAAATAAAATATCCCCAAAATAAATATCCCAAAAATAAATATTTTTTACAGCGGAGCTGTTAAGGGCTAGGTTCCCCAGGATTGTGTCCGGTACCAAAGAAATGTCGGCACAAACCTACACGAACCTCTGGACAGCTACCGCCACCTATAAGCGACGGCGGCAACCAGGCAGCCAGTCTAGTTACCACCGTCGCTCGTAGATGGCGGTAACCTTTCCAGCTATCATAGAAGAATGGATAGTTGGGCGAGTTCGTGTGAATTCATCGTAGGACACAGCGCGCAAAACGGACGAGGACGAAGAAGAAACCCACGTGACGAGCGCAGCACACGTCACATGTGTTTCTTCTTTGTCCCCGTCTGTTTTGCGTGCTGTTTCCTATGCTCTTATCAGTTTCAGATCGGACTCGCTATGCGTCAGTTGCATGCCCTTTCTTCGGGAAAAGACCGGGTGCTGAAGGAGCGGCGACGTACGCAGCAGCGCAAATAGGTCCAAAACCGTTGCGTGCGTCGAGCGCTTCCGATTCTTTTGCGAAATAAGTGCAAACCGCTTGCCTGAAAAGTCACCGCCGAGAACAGAGGCTACAGCTCCGCTGCTTTTCCTTATTCACCAGAGTGGAAAGGCTGAAAGTTTTTTTTGTTTTGTTTATGATTAGGGGAGGTTTTAGCTTATATTTGGAGTTGAACTGCAAGCAGCAATATAGGTTAATTCTGACTGCCTGGGAATCTTTTGACGTGCAACCAAAATCTTGGCTAAGCACCTTCCATCCAAACAAATCTGTTAAAAAAAAAATATAAAAAACTTACGGCCTTGTTATTTATATGGTTTTAAACCCTGCGACTTTGTCTTCCAAACTTCCCCCATTGCCAAGCCACTCGCATCCCAGCTCCCCACGCACCTGAGACGGGGCTGCTGGCAGGGTTGGCCGACGGAGGCTTGGCTTCTGCGGTGCCCTGCCCCTGTGGCTTGGGGGCGCTGTGGGGCACCTCGGTGGCCAGCAGGCGCTTTTCCATGAGCTCCTTCTGGCGCTGCATGGCCGCCAGCTTGCGCCGCTCCTCCTTGATGCGCACCACTTGCTCGCGCAGCTTTTTCTGCTCCTCAATCTTGCGGCGCAGCTCCTTGGTTGCAGAGTCCTGCGGGGGGGAGGGAAACCCCTTCACTCTTCCTCTGTCTTTCATTATGTCACCCTCATGGCGCTGCAGACGGGAGTGTTTCGTGAAACGAAGTATACGCAACAAACACTAAACATAGCAAGAAAATTCTACGACAGTCATTATGGCTGATTACAATGATAAAGGTTAATCGTGGCGTTTCCAAAAAATGTTACGGTCGCCGACAGAATGAAAACGACGAATTGTGGCCGTTGACCACCCGAGCGTCGTCAAAGGTGGGAAGCTCCTCCCTGCCGTCCTCACACTATCAGTGAGTACGGTGTCAATCGTTTCAGACTCGGGCGTGGGAATCCCACAAACGAACAGGGAAGCATGTCGGATGCTTCCCCGTCCTTTCCTTTTCCCAGGCTCCGAGCATTTTTACTACGTTTAACAATTGGAGAGCTCGGGGGCAAGCACTAATGTGCTTAGAGTGAGACAATGTTGCCCAACAGGCCTGAAGTTGAATGCAGTCGAGCGTTAGCTCCATTTCAAAATCCCGTCCCCGTCGTCTTTGGCTTCGTCTGCAGCCTTTTACCGATACCTCCGGTTTCTTGTACTCCAGCTAATCAGTGCCGGGTCACTCATACTCTCTCCTGGCGTTCATTTGTTCGGGTTCCTTCTGTCCACTCCAAATTTCAAGAAGCCGTCAATTGTTGTCTGACAAAACGCTAAGCCCAGGGCAAAGTGCAAGACAAAAGCTCCTTATTATCGTCTCTTACGAGTCGCCCGTATATACGAGACACGGCTAATAAGGGAGCCCAGGTTTGAGATGGAGCGCAACTCCAACCATATGGAGCATCCACACATTCAGTGGTGGTGCCCACCATCAAGGGGGGACACTACCCAGAAAAACAAATTTCTGCAAAAAGAAGTAGATTTTGAAAAATGGCATATTTACGTCTGCCAACATCTAGAGAGTATTCCGAGAAAGTTTCATTAGTTTACACTGCATAGTTAATTTTTATAAATATTTTTCTGTCCATTGAAGCTAGAGAAAATGTAAGGTTTGGAGCACTTCGAACGCATTTTTCTCTGTTCCACGTTTTGGTATAAATTCCATTTTAGTCATACTATCGTCTGATAATGGCAATACAGGAAAGGCTCGTTCTGCACTTTTCCTGAACGAAATTTAATAAGGAATGCGGCTATGGAATTTTTTTGTCACTCTACGAATGTCTTTTATAAAAAAACGTTGACATTTTGTTGAAGACACAAAAGACCAAAAAGTTGACCAATTTTGCAGAAAAGAAAATTCATAGAAATAAATTACTTTTTACAAAAAACTTTCCATAGCCGCACCCACTAGGCATTCTGCTAGATATCTACCAAATAAAAATCTTAAATACTGTTACGGTTTTCCGACGTTAGATTAAGTAAACAATGTAGGCATGTTGCTGATAGAAGCTGCCCTAATTTCCTTTCCAATTAACCGACAGACCTAAAATTTTGTTATGCACCCTCTAGCATGACCACCTGCCTAACCTGTAAGTTTCCTTAATTTTAAGCCAAGGGTTCAAAAGCTGACCCTCCCAGGGGGTGTGTCCCCCGTGCAGATGCAACTAGCCCCTCCCACACGGGCTGGTTGTGCGTCGTCGCTTGGCAAGGAGGACAGTGGGTAGCGCACGGATCGGAGACACTGGACGCTTTTGCCACCTCCTTACGCGTTGCGATGCACCAATGAGGCCGGAGAGCCAAATTTTCAACGTCACCCAAAGAAAAAAATGCGGGGCGTGAATTGGACGAATGTTGTTGTTTTTTTTGTGTGTGTTTTTGCCAACCATAGAGTTATTTAATGTATGCCAGAGGTTCAACTGGCGCTAGTGTGCTGTCACTAATTGAAGGACCCAGTAAGCGGTCGAAAATTGACTTCAGGTAGACTGTGGGAAAAAGTGAGTGCATTTTCTCCCTGGGCTCGATTATAAGAGCAAATATCTCGAATAATACGCACATACTAGGCAGCTTAGAACATTTCTCAGTCAGGCAGGCGAAATAATTGGTCAGTTACGGCAGTTTTCTTTCAAATTCATTGCATTAAAAACTGCTAAAACGACTTTGTACATGTACACTGTTGGACACTGTTAGCGCAAGCACGACGTCAGCGCTTTTCAGCATGGGGGATATGCATGCCAAACGAACGAAGGACATCCGGAAAAAAGACAGCAAAAACTTTGCAGTAACACTGGATCAGGAACTCTCTGTGCATGTGCAAATGAAATAAACTGAAGGTCACGTCACATAGTCCGATGTTCAATAAGTAAGTAGTGCTTTATTCTTTTTGCTCTGTACGAACATGTTTGTTCCACGTTCAAAATATCCCGTGCATGCTCGAAATCTTTGAGAACAACCGCCCGATAAAAGCTGCTTGGCACAGAAAATAATAAAAGGAAACACCTTTCATAGCCCACACTTTATTCTTTACGTTTGGAATGTTTTTTACCACTCGTAAAGATGCACGACGGTGTCATTTTCCTATAGTGACAGGACTGGCATATTAGCAATATACAGGTATCACCGGAATGCAGGCAAACCTTGAACAAGCTTCATATTCCTTTCGACCGTTATTTTGCTTAAAATCGTCGCTTTTGTTTTATGTATCTGCTCTGGAACACAGGGTTGAGTCTGAAACATAGCGAAGTTAAAGACCGTTCACCGATGAAGAAAAATGCGCTAACTAAAGCAATTACACTTTTACAATGTTAATAAAGGTACATACTACTCAGTACGAGCCAAATAACCAAAGTGCTCCCCATCATTTTGCGGCGAAGAGACAAAATGCACGTGCGTTTTTCCATAGAAATGCACAGGAGCATCGCAAAAGTAGGCTGGTTGTTGTCTGCTTGAATTTGCATCACGCAAGTTGCACAGACACTAGCACCAACTGAACCTCTAGCGTACATTGAAACTTTATGTTGCCAACGAAACGAGAGCCTTGGCCGTTGACGAGACTCGCATCCAGTCCGTGCCCTGCATTCGCCTCTTTAGGCGACGTTGCAAATTCAGGCCCCCGGCTTTGCTACCATGTGTTGGTCTGTTCCGCGCAGAGGTAACTCGAGAAAGGCTCGGCATCTCCCGTTAGTGCAATCAACCGCAGTAACTGCTGCCACCTCAGTAGGGTGCCTGAAACGCATCCCATTGGTGTCTGTAACGTCCCATACCGGCCATGGACCGAACAGGGTTCCGAGTGGCAATAAATGCGGAAGTTGGCCAATCATGTCATCAAAGTTGACTAAAGCAGAGGCTGGCAACCCACCTCCTCGATGGCCTTGGGCAGAGTGGCCTTGATGGGCTCCGGCGGGGGCAGGTTCTCCACAATGGGCACCTCCTTGATGTTGGCGTTGTTCACCGTGCGTCCCGGAGTGCCCTGGCTGTGCTTGCGCGGCTGCGTCCGTCAAGGGGAAAAACGCGGCTCAACATCACTGCAGTCCACACTCGGCGGATCAAAGTCCGTTTATAAGAATTTTCAATTGGTTCGAAGCGCGGATTCGATCACGGCTATCATAAGTATACACTACTATGGGCAAAAATGTGGGGTAATCCGAAGTTCAACCTCTGGGTCCCGTTAGTTTGAAGGATTGTGTGCCGGAGAAGTGTGGCAAGTCCGGGAGCGCAACAAAGCCTAGGAGTTATGCCAACCGCTCCCAAAACTTGGCCATGCCTGCTTCATCGCTTTTATCTACCTACTCTGCAGTCGGGAAAAGGGCGACATCGTGTGGCTACGATGCCCTTAGACACGTTCAGTTTGCGAAGCACACTTATCGTGGCACACGTGCATCAATGGAAACGAGCCAGAGTCCAGCAGTTTATATTGTAAAAATATAAATACCCGCACGGCTCGGGGTTCGTGGCGACGCCACCCACCGAGCGCCTACTAAAGTAGGTGCCCCCAGTGTGTGTGTATGGTGGCCCACGTGGCCGGGGTGATGTTACTCACCAAGCACCTAACACCTCACACCTCAGGTATAGGTGCCCCCTGTAGGGTGCGCTTACTTGTTTGCCACCCAGCAACAGCTAGTGTGTGCCTTTCCAGTAGTATGCCTCAACACAGGCACAGAAAGCAAACAATTTCACATTGTAAGTAGAATCTCGATGATACGAATCTCGCTGGATCGCAGAAAAAATATTTGTATAATACGAAATTCGTATGAACGAGAAACAAGTCGCATAAGTACATGAAAGCAAAGTGTTTAATGGCCACACTCCCAGTCAAAGAAGTCAGTAATGTTCTTCCGAGTCTTCTATTCTTCATTATCACCAAGGAGAAAGTTTTACAACGTGTAAAAACGTTCCGAAACTCCTTCGTCAAATCCTTGCGTTTTCTTTTAGGGTCCTCGTCCCCTTTCCTCAGAACTTGCAGCTTCTCTCTGAAGGACAGCGATTTTCTCTTGCGAGACATGTTAAAACAAATCGCAACTCACGCTGGACTGATGAGGCAGGATGAGGGATGTCCTCCCGAAAGTTTGTTGATGCAAATCGCACGGAGTTCAACAGACGTGCACATGCGCGTGCAAACAAAGGATGCTTGCTCGTTGACGTTTGCATCATCAACACCGATTCCGAATGTCGTTTCTTGTGTTCACTCGAGTGACTGAGAGTTGTTAAAACCCGTTCATCACGTGACAATAAAAATAAAGCAGCAACCTAGTTACTCCAGCAATCCGAATTCGAATCCCGTGACAACATAGATAGTGCAGCAACGGTGGACGTGGGTATGCTTTCAAGTTTTTGAACACAGCCACGTTTTATTATGATTGCGCCGCGTATGTAGAAAGAACGGCAAGAAAAATAACTCAAAAACGGTGGTTACAATTGCCAGAGCCGAGTGATGCCACCCTAAAAGATGTGTAAATGTTGTCGATGACTGTTCGTATGATCCACCTCGGCCCGATGAAGCATTCAGACCATCCCGAAACGTAATACATTAGTCTTAAGGAACTTTGGCCAGGGATTTCGAAAAATTCGTATCATCCCGAAATTCGGATGAACCGTGATCGTATCATTGAGATTCTACTGTATACGTAAAAATGCTAAACAGAGTGAGTGCCTCCTATATCCTTCGTGCCTGGCAAAGCAGCCTCCCGAGGCCGTCGCGCGGCTACTCATGGTGACCTCGTGAGGGCGCCGTGCTAACACCGTCTGCGTAAGGAGCCTAGATTCAAGAGAGGGAGCAGCTTAAAGCGCAGAAAATGTTATCAATTGAATGGCAGACGCCTCGTGGGCAGACTTTTTGCGAGTGAGTGCGTGTTACATTGTCGCTTGGCGAGGAAAGCGGGTGGAGAGGTGAAGACGTTCGCAAACAGTCAACACTTTGTCGACCTTCTCGCAGCTCGTATTGCAAACACGGCCCACAAACCGGGCGACCCTGGTTGAGCGGTCAGAAACACTTTGACATTCGAGCACACTAGGTGGGGTCTGTGTTGTCTGCTTCAATCTACTTTGCCTTCGGTATTCAATGTTGGTTGCACGATATCAACGCGGACAGGAGGTATTGACGGAGTAGAGAGTCAGATATCCACAACAGCTTCGACATCCCCGTTTTTGGAATCAAATTAAGAGTTTAAACTTTAGTAACTTAGTGATGTCACATTGATACGACTATGCCTTTAAAAATTTATTGTTGATTAGTAACACATTTATTGTTTAGTAGTCCCTTACTGACCCGTAGAATAATTCTAAATCATTCAAAGGCACCCCCAAGTGCATCTTTCCTCCTGTCCAGCCTTCATCCCTCCAAACTGGAAAGAGCGGAGGAGGAGCTTGCTCCGCTTTGCCCTGGCACTGACAAGTCACCCTTACCATGTGAGGAGCCTCCAGGCGCAGGGTCTTCTGGGGTACTGTGACAGGCGGGGGGGACGTGGGCCTCTTGCCGAAGGGGCCCGCCGCCTGCGGGAAGTGGGGCACCCCAAAGGGGCCCGCCGCAACGCCCGGCTGCTGCTGCGGCGTCCCCCCGTGGGGCCCGGGGCCGTGCTGCAGGAAGCCCACGGGGCCCCCCTGCTGCTGCTGTTGCTGGGGGCCGTGGCCCGGAGGGGGCTGGGAGGGCGGTCCCTGGGGGAAGGGCTGGAACGGGGGGTGCTGGGGGGGCTGCTGCTGCTGCTGCTCCTGAGGACGGAGGAGACGCCCGGGAACAAAGGGGTGAATTTCCGACACAACTTCGATGGTAGTTTTAGCGCAATATTATTGAAAATAAATTTCTATAGAGCATAAAGTAGAGTATTTAAAGGGCCACTGACCGCTCACGTATCAACCCTTTCCTTTTATTGCCGTAAACGACCGGGAAAGATCCCTCAAGATCGTCCTAAAAACTTAAGCTCGGGAGCAAATAATTTGAGGAGAAAACAAAATATATTTAAAAAGCCAGATTTGAAATTTTTGAACAAATCAATCGGGCAGATGGCAAAATGGTGCTCTTTTTGCTTTTTCGGATAACTTCAAACCAAAAGTGCTATTTAGCTTTCTTTCTATCTTCTTTCCTAACTGATTGCAGCAATCACCGGCACTCGCCTCTGCCATCCTGTACGTAGCGAGCTTACATCGCCGTGCACTTGCCGCGTCCTTCATCCACGTGCGGATGACGTGTCACTTTTCATTTCGATGTTCTCTTTTTAGTTGCATTCTATTCAGTGGGCCTCGAACATTTTTTCAGTGGGCAAAGAAGAGAATAACACGTCGCAGACATTGCTGAGCGATGTGAGGGACAACGCAAAATTCTCAACCGCTCGACAATTTCTCTCTCCAAGTCCAACAGTTACCATCCAGCACCGAAAGAAACAAATCGCCCGAGCCATCACTGACTTCCCAGCTATCAACTCCCGTCGTGTAACGATCCTGGCCTGTTGCTCGTTCATGACATTCATTCACAATGTTCGGTCACGTTGGTCATTCATGTCGGTCAGTCATTCCTGACGCCCATCCACGACGCTCGCTCGTTGACAGTTTTCGCACATTTTATGTTAAAACCGGGAGACGGCCGACGCCTCCTGACTGATAATTCCAGGCTCCGAGTTTTTAGCCGTTGAAATCGGCAGTGTAGTGCATTCCGAACAGTCGTAAAAAACAACATTTGATGAGTGTTGTTACACACGCACGACTCGCAACACTTGCACATTTCCAAAATATGCCTTCGCCTACTACACCAAAAAAAAAAAAAAAGTGATGGAAGAGGGAGCTTGGATTGGGGGAGCTGGACATTGATCTTTGACGGGCACTTTCGCAATGATGCTGAAATCGCGCACCCGACACAAGTACTGCACAGGCACCCAGCGTGAACTTGGATCTAACCGCACACCTCACACAGGAGCGATGCCCAAAGTGCGGCAGCCACCAGCGTTGCTCGGCAGACGTTAGGAAAAGCTTTATCGACGACCAACCAGTTCCCTTTCCTACGTAGTTCACAGACTACGAGGCAGCGTCGCGCACGATCGAGTAAATAAAAGTAGACACGCATAAAAGAGGGCGTTACTATGCGCAAAAACGGCTACCACCTTTGCACACTGCAGTGATGCGATTGGCTTAAGCCGTTTTAGAGCAACCTTTCGGAGCAGCCGAAACAGTGTTTTGGAGCAGCAAAAGTGGCCTTTGGAGCAGCTGAAACAGTGTTCTAGAGCAGCAAAAGTGGCTTTTGGAGCAGATATTCTTACAAAAATAAAAATATTTGTTTTAAGTGTTAGATAGACGAAGGACACTTTGCTCGCCGCAATAAAAAAATTATCGTCAATTTAGACCCCCCCCCCCCCCCGAGTCTCAACATGTAACTGAAATGCCAATGACATGACAGATTTTCCAATACTTCACTTTAATCATATGTACATATATACGTACCCGCCATAGATAAATAAGAACCAAACTGCACATATTGAAATTTATTTGAAAATGACCAGCGTAGTAATAAATATCACAGCATTAGGTTGACTAGTTATGTAATATATTAAATAGAAGCAGTCTCCGACTAATGAAACACATACCTAACAACTGCAGTGCAATGCGAAACTGCAAAGACAAAGGTGCATTACGACTAGCGGGTGCTTTTCTTTTTCCTTTTCGAAACTTTCTGCAAGACTGCTGCAAGCATCGCTTTGCTTTCGGCTAGTAATGAATGTCCACTTTCAATGTCTCCAAAGAGACATTTAGACATATCCTACAAGTGTACAGTGCTGTAGGCGTTGCCGAGCATTTTTGAAAAACCGCTTGCCACCGTTTTACTGGTTCCCGACGTGCCAGATTTTCGTCAAAAATAAGCAAACGTAAAACAATGGGTTGCAAGCGTCCTGGCTGGTGCATCTGTCGTGCAATTATGTTCGCATGCACGAGGGCAACTTCGGCGGGCTTGCAGTCGCATGTGCTTCGTCACGCAAGCAGAGATGGCTGTTCAATCGAAACCTAAACCATGCCACTCTGCTTTGTCACCAACTGGTCCCCAAAATTGTATGCAAGATAGAACTGTCCAGCATACGACAAAAAAAACAGCCCAGCGGCGCGTGCTTGCCAGGCCGGCAAGAGAGGTACAAGCTAAACACACAGAAAAAAGAACCTGAGCGCATTGATGCAAGACATCAATAGCCAGGGTCAAAAAGTTCTTGGAGCGCTTTGTGCAACGACTGAACTTGAGACAAAAAAGCGCGCTGTGCGGGTTCAGAACGTAGACCATTGCCTTCTTTGCTTTAGCTCACTTCTCCTCACCAACTTTCTTTCGTGGCAAATTTTTCACATACCGGAGTCCCTCTCGAATGCCCACCGAGAGAAACTTGGGTAATCAATACCTTGACACAGCAGTCTTCGAGTTCAAGAGGGATTTTTGCAGTAGCTTATAATTTAAGCAAGAATAGGAATGTCTATGAACATGCGACCGTCCTTACGTTTCCTTTTAGAAAGCGTCATATCTGCAGCGACGTGGGGACGGCAACACTCGACGTTGCGCAAACACGTCGACTGGAAGGCAAGGACCAAATAGTTTTTTCACGGCCGCTGCTTTCAGGAGCGAGTGCTTCAACTCATAAAATGGCTCTAGCCACACAAACACGTTGTTTTGTTTCACAGCATCACGGCATGGCTGGTACCCGGCACGCTAGAGTCAGAGCATCCCCCCACGCCCACGGCTATCGTTGAAAATTTTTTAAAAAGACGCGAGACAAGACTTACGAGACGACAAGAGAGCGAAACAAGAGACGGCGGGAAAAACCACTGATCTTTATGACAATTGCTGGATCACGCTTCCCGCTCCCGCGAGTGAAGCCACGGGACGGCCATCTTTTTCGTAGACGAATTGCGGTTTTAGTAGCGTTGCAGAGGCTGGTGGCAGCGTGCTGAAGACACATTTTCTACTCGTTTATCGTCATTCACCAAAGACGTTTTCTAAGACTCTGTGTAAGCGTTGAGACTTGCTGTTGCGAACAAGTGGAAAATTTTACGAAAGCGCGGAGCCGAAGAAAAAAAGGCAGAACTCGTAGAGAGCAAGCTTCGCCGGTCTCTCGGCATGATCAGAGCTCCCTTGGCACGCCAAAATGCTGCGTATCTGTGCCTTTACATGCTTGGATACCGATCAAGAATCGGCACCACAACAAAGTTTTGAAGGTTTGTCGTGAGATGTCTTTGCACCATTTATCGTTCCCAATCTGTACGGTTGCTCTTATGCACTATTAACTAGGGCTGTGCGAATACCGAATAGTAGTTGTCGAATTGAATGTCGAATCAAATCAAGAAAAAAAAGCCGAATATTGAATTAAATATTGAATAGGGATTTTATTTACAGGAATGTTTCAAAGTGTGCCGTGAATGAGATTATTATATGTGCAGAGTATGCGCCTGGTGCAGAATATGCATCTCGTATAGAACAAAAGATCAAAAGTATAAAAATTCTGGTTAAAAAAGAGGCCACATCTCCACGTGGTGAATGATGTTGATTGGGGCGAAGTTCTGGTTGTGCTGATGATACTGATTTTATTGTTCATAGGTAGTGCTGATGGTGCTGATTTTTTTTTTATTGCACATAGGTAGTGCTGAGTCCCTAGTTGCGTTTCGACTTCATTATTACTGCTTTATGGACGGTGAAACGCAGAGCCAGTAGTTCTTCTAGCGGATTAGCTTGGATCCATTAGAAGCCGTGGGAATGCATCTCCACTGCTTAAAGGGGCGGTGCAACGATTTTACAATTAAAAGAATTTGCATCTCGTCATTTTTACGTTGTTTAAAAACACCTCCTTCATTAAAAATGTTGCGATTCCGGTGCATAATCGCAAAGCAAAAGTCAAGCTTTTCCCCCCACCTGCAGCCCCAAGTGGCAGCCGAAGGAACTACGGCAAATAGATTACATGACCTCGCTCGGCTCTAAGCTGCAGCCTAACGCCCGCTAATGTCAGCAGAGAGAGGGAGAGGAAGCGTCCTCCGGGAGAGCACACGGGAAGCTACACGGCACTCCGAATGACGTCACTAGGAGGGGGACCAGGTGTGGCCCTGAAGGCCGGTAGTGAGTTGAGGGGTGCCCGAAATGCCAATCTTTATCTTTTTCTTACGCAACAACTAGGACACGCAGGCGAAATCGGTTTTCTGTTGTTTACTTCAGAAGTGTCACAGGGCAACTTCCAGAAATCTTTGACCGAAGTCCGGAAATCGTTGCACCCTCCCTTTAAGTCAACGGTCCATGTCAGAAAGAGAATGTGTGGTATGGAATGTGGTTATATACGCAGTTGAGCATTTGACTGCAGCGCCCTCTCATCTATAAACGTTGAGCCAATGCATGCAAAGTTGCGCGATTATATACGCATTTGACCGCAGCGCCCTCTCGTGTATAGACGTTGAGCGGCTACATGCAACGTTGGAGTGTAGCGTAGAGGTTAAGACGTCTGCCTCGTAAGCAAGCGGTCCTGAGTTCGAACTCCTGCGCGGGCATACATTGTTTTTTTTTAAAAGTGGGCCGATCGCAGAGGCAGTGCAATCGATGTGAGCACGGACGCCGGACGAACGGACAAGGCTAAACCCTAAGGAGCTTCGCCCCTAAAAAAAAAAGCAGCTGTTGATGGACGTTGGACACTAAATATCCAATTTTATGGCACAAACATAATCTATGTACCCTAAGCGTCATAAAAAACCCAGTTACAACCACG